CTCTCTCTCTCTCTCTCTCTCTCTCTCTCTCTCTCTCTCTCTCTCTCTCTCTCTCTCCCCACACACACACTTTTACTGGAAGGATTTATCAAATGCTTTAAAGATCACCCTTTACAACATTTTTTTAAACTTGCAGAAAAATAATAGATTCTGTGCCTGGCTATAAATTTAGAGGTAGAGTTTCTTTTTGATTAGGTAGATGATTCATGTTGAAAAGTTCAAAAGCAGCCTTTCTCTGTTTGGAAATATAGAGATACTCAAACCTCTTTTTCCTCACAGACGGAGTATGCGAGGTTCGAGAATGGCCGATTCGTGTACCGAATAAACCGCTCGCCGATGTGTGAATATATGATTAACTTCATCCACAAGCTCAAACACCTACCAGAGAAATATATGATGAACAGTGTTTTGGAAAACTTCACCATATTATTGGTAATATTTGTCTCTCTCCTGGTTGGCATTGGTAGAGCCTTTGCTGAGGCTTGTTGGGGACAGTGAGGAAGGTGGGTGGGAAGGAAGCCAGGTTTTCAGCGAGGATACTTGAGTACCTGGTGCTCAACAAGTTCTAATATCATGATTCTTTATTGGTTGCCTGAGTCAGAGGCTTTTGTCCTCAAAACATATTCATAAAATAGTCAGTAATGAGTTTTATAAGAATTTTTTTAAAAAGAAAATAGCCCTTGATTAAGCTGAAAGGTCAGGATGCCAAAGTAAACCTCAGTGAGTGCAGTCCTCCTGAGGGGCTGGCAAGGGCACCCCTAAGGTCCTACAGCCTCTGAAGGCTGCCTCTGAAGGCTGTTACTAGAATGGTGAGCCTGAGTGTTTATCCAGGGAATCCCTTACCTGTTGTGTTGGTTCTCAATCAGATATATACTGTTTTGGTTTGAAAGGTTTCTTTCCACCTATTCCCTTCCCATTTAAGGAAGGAAGCCTCTGATTTAAGCCTTATGTGGTAGTACATATCTGTAATCCCCGTACTTAGGAGTCTAAGGCAGGGGGATCAGGAGATTGGGAGCAGGCTGGAGTGCATAGTGAAACTCTGTCTTTAGACAAGCCAATGAAGTGGCTCAGGTAAAGGTGCTTGCCGTGCAAACCTAGCAATCTAAGTAGTCATGGCATAGCCAGAATTTGGAGTCCCTGCCATCAGGGACTGAAATCTCAGAACTCAGACCTAGGATCAATATGCATGGGTGGATACAAGCATACAAGCTTGACTTTCTCTAGAGAGAGACTCTCAGTGGAGCCTCAACTGTCTGTATGCTCCTAAAGCTTAGAACCTAGAAGTCTGGGAAAATGCCCATCTTTAATAGTCACCAGGATCCTTTTGGTGGAAGATGAGCAGTTTGCAGAGTGAGCGGTGGGAGGGAGCGGGTATCTGTCTCAGAACTGTACCCTACTGCAGTCCAAGTGTGTGGGAACTAGGGAAGATGGTTCAGTCAGGAAAGACCTTGCCACACAAGCATGAGAGCTAAGTACAGTTTCTCTGCCCTACAAAAGGCCAGGCCTCATGGCACTGCCTCTAGTACCCAGCACTGGGGAAGTGGGGATGGGTACCTCATTCATTGGAGGCCATTGGCCAGCCTAGCCTAATCAGAGTACTCTGTATTTAGATAGAGATTATAGCTCCAAAAGTCAAAAAATATTAAATAAGATGGAAGAGTGAGCAAGAAGGCCATGCAAGATCAAATTCTGGCCTAAACATACACACAAACAAAAGCAAGTGCAGGCCTTAACACTGGGGAGCAGGCAGGAAGTGTGGTATTCCTTTCTAGGTCTTAAAACCACATCAGTGACTTGAATTCTTAGGTGGTAGCCACCTACTCTCTTAGCAAGAATTTCAGCTGCAGTTCTGTCTGTGACTGCAGGTTGAGGATTGTGATAACACCAGTCTGGACTCTGCCTCAGAGAGCCTGGCTAAATTGAATGTTGCCCTGAGATGTCAGAGCCAGGCCCCTAATTGTTAGAGAGCCCAGGTACTTGTCAGCAATATGCCTCTGGGACATAGAACTTCCACGATTCTGGACCTCGCTGAGTTTGGTTAAAATGTGTCATTAAAGCCAGTCATAATGGCATAGATAGATAGATAGATAGATAGATAGATAGATAGATAGATATAGATATAGAGATAGAGATCTCTCTCTATATATGTAGAAATATCTATATCTATCTCCCTGCATTTGGCAAATGGAGGCAGGAGGATCAGGAGTTCAAGGCCATGTTAGGCTATAGGAAACCCTTCTCAATAGCAGAGTGTCATTAAGGAGTTAAATATTTTGACATAAACAATTAATAATTTCCAAGAAACATTTGTTAGAAATAATATCATTGCCTTAGAAAATCGTGGACTTCAGGATTCCAAAGATGAAAACATCCAGTTGATGGACAGGAGAAATTGTACTTTCTAGCTCTTATTAGCAGCTGCTGGCTACCACTTTGCTAAGTAAAAGTGGGTTATCAGGCCAATTTAAGATCTTGATGACTGGTAGGCTAGGCTCTCTGGTTGTATCCTGTTGCATTGAGATTGAACTGAACACATAGTGGCAATGAGAGCCCCAAGCAGAGCTGGGAAGGACAAAGGTGAATCACAAGCCACGTGTGCCTGCTGTCTTCTTGGGCCTAGTGGTATAGGCCTGTAATCCTATCTATTTAGGAAGCCAAGGCAAGAGGATTGCACATTTCAAAGTCTGCCTAGGCTACAGAGTGTTCAAGGCCAGCCTCGGCATCTTAGTGAGACCCTGTCGTAAAATAAATAATGAAAAGATGGGGCTGGAGAGCTGGCTTGACAGTTAAGAGCTCCTGCTACAGTTTCCTACACAATGTCTTATAACCATCTGTAACTCCAATTCTAGGGGCTCTAACAACCTTCTTCTGGCCTCTGGGCACCAGGTATATGTTACACATATACACAGATAGGCAGCTACTCACACATATGAGGTAAAATCAAATATTTTAAAGCAAAATGAGAAGAAGCCTAGGGATACATAGTGATAGAGAATTTGGTCTACCATACATGAGGCCCTGGATTTTTAAATCTTCTGTACAGACAGACAGACAGAACGGATTTACAAGAAAATGGCTGTGTCTGAGAAATCACAAGCTTTATGCTAGATACAAAGACACTTTGTAAATGTTACTGTAAAAGTCTTCCCATGAACTGCAGTATCGTTTTGTGGTTAAGGAGTCCCTTCGACTCAAGGTCGTGGTGATCAGCACAGTCAGAAAGTTTGAACTGAAGCTTTGCTGTCTCCATAGCTGTCTCCATGAATAAATGGATCACATAAATCTGTAGTCTTCACCTCCAAGTTGACCAGTGAGAATCTTTCTTTACACTCCCGCAGGCATACCGTGGGTATAGCATCGGCTGCTGAGAAGTGATTTTTTGATCATAGTGTGCCATGGTAACTTAGGGCCTTTGCATCAAAGGAGAAGATGAGCAGGTTATGGTACACGGTCATTTAAATTGTTGAGTATTTCTGAACGAGACACCATTGAAGTTTAGAGGTAGATGAGGTGGGCTCAGGAATGGTAAAGAAGGTGTGACTGTTGAAGGATAAGCAGACATTTTTCATATTTACCAAGCAAGTAAGACTTTTTCCTGAGTGCATACATTGGTATCAGGTGCTAGGAATACTTCAATGGACTAGCTGAGTGAGTCTGTCACCCCAAGGTCAGATGGGGGAGACAGGCGTTCATCCAGTAATGAATGGAAAATAACATTATCACCGATGTCTTGCAGAGATGGGCGTAGTGCTGAGGTGACATGACCTAGCTCAGAGGTGAGGAAGACCTATAGGTGAAGTAGCAGCTTTGAGCTGGTTAGTCCCGAGCAGATGGCACCTCAGCCTCCTCTTTGCCATGGGGAACAGTAGTACTCAGTCAGAGTTGTGAGGTCCCGTGCCAAGCATGTTATACTGTAGTTGATACATAGTGGGCACACAGCATTAGTGGCCATCATAAGGTTTACTCACTCAGCAGATGCTCAATCATGGCGTCCATTCCTGAGCTGGTTAACCAGAAGACATGGTCTCAGTTCTTCACAGTTCACTGGAAGAGCTGGATATTGAAAAACACCAGTCTATGTGAATCACAGAACTCCACAGAGAAAATCAGAAGTGAGCCTTTATTCTTTTCAGTAAAGGACCCTGAACTTGGAGGCAAGGGAAACTTACATGGTGAAGCAGACCATTGCAGAGGGGAAATTGGGCCCTTGACAAGCAAGATAAGGCACTCAAGCCCAAAATGATTTTGAACATGAAAGTCACAGAGAATCATTGAAGCATTGTGAAGCACATTTGATCAGATTGTCCTTCAAAATGTTCCTTCTGAGGTAGCATGGGGGCCTCCGGCCAGCGTGAGGAGGAAAGCCAGGGCTCAGATCAGAAAGAGGCTAAGATCATAGATATGAGGGAGAGAAACCCACAGGGACATTGAGTATCTCCTAACACATTGTGAGAGGTATAGCCTGGGTCAGCAGAGAACAGCAGCATCAGGTGGGCTTTGTGGGGTTCCAGTGAGACTTACAGTCTTCCGAATGTAGAACAGATTGACCGTGCTATCTTTTATGTGGTGTGATGGTACATATGCTTTTTTTTTTTTAACAGGTGGTAACAAACAGGGATACACAAGAAACTCTCCTCTGTATGGCCTGTGTATTTGAAGTATCGAATAGTGAACATGGAGCACAGCATCATATCTACAGGCTTGTAAAGGACTGAACCTTGTTATTTATATAGAGAGATATCTGTATATACACACACATATGTGCACACACACACTCTCCATTATCGAACGACTGACTGTAAACCTCACCACACAGGGTGCTACCCTGGCCCCCTGGGTCCCACCCTGACCTTTCTAAATCCTGTTCGAGTGAACTTATTTTTTCCATGTGTTCATGCTATCATTGTAGCTGTGAAGTTGTGATACAGTTTTTTGTGTATTCCTCAGATCTGCAACCCACAATCCCTTGGGGAAGGTGAATCTTACCAGCCTAAGCTAAGCCTCTCTGCAGACCTGTTTCCTGTTGTGGTAGAAAATACTGAGACAGAGGATTGGCCACGGGGCATTGACTCCCTTTATACAAATGTATTTAGTTCTTTTTATGTTTTTCCGACATAAAATTCTTGTTTTAAGATACAAGTAAAATTAATCTTTAAATATAAATGTAAATTAGTACAGGAAAACTAAGATTCTTTAGACTTATCTTTGTAACTAATTAGGGTGGAAGTTATGGAAGAATGTAATTCACTAAATTATTTTTTAAATGAAATCTTCTTTCTTTTTAAAACCAAATGTTAAACTATAGCCTTAAGACATACTTGGTTGAAATATCCTAATGAGACAAATTTGTACCTTCCCCCAACCCCCAAGGTTAAAACTAATACCCTAATTCATTAAACTCTTGAAACAGGTGTTACAAAGGAGGAAAACATCACCCCTTATCCTTAACATATATAGTATATTTAAAAATGTAAAATTGTATTGTACTAATGTGATAATTCATTATTTAATGAGAAAGAAAAGACAGTTCATTTTGCAATAAGTAGATAATACTGAAACAAGTCTAAGCTTACAATGTTATAGTCTTGTGTGTGCAGTTACATTTTATATGGTCCACCAAATTTTTTATGGAGACGAGTTCACATTTGAACCACTGAAATTTAATAGCAAATTTAAAAATTGGCATGAATACTGCACTGTGAGTTGCAAAGGATGCAGAATCCTGTGGCTGGAAGAAAATTGTCATCAACCGAGCAAGCAGAAGGCTCATCAGGTTTGGTGTCTCTGCTGCCCAGAATGTCACTGTCACAAGCCTCCTCGCCAGCCTGTGGATAGGTTGTTTCTGGTAGCCTAGTGTGTACAGGAAGCATCTGTGACTATAGCTCTGTGTCCATGCACATGTTGATGCTCAGCTCTTTGAGCTCCTGGTTTTGTCAGTTTGCTAGTTGCTCATCGCCTCTCTGCATTATAGACATGGATATATTTTCTCTAAAGGCATCTGTCCATAAGCCTCAGTGCCCCCCACCCCACTTTCTGTCTCATCTTTTCAAGCAGATTCCCTCATTCTCTTACCAAGAGAATATTCCAAAGCATTGCCCAGCAGAGTTGGTCTGATGTGGCCAGCCTCTGGTTACTTCCCTAAGTGCTTTTTCACTGGGGAAGCAAGAAATGTTAACCCCTCTACTTCCCAGGGAAGTTAAGAGGAAAGTAAGAGTTTCTTTACACACACTCACATGTGTGAGCACACACAACACGACTGTTAGGAATATGTAAACACAATAGAAATGGTACAAACTTTTTACGTTAAAAACAAAAAGCATGGCTTGTTTTTTGCACTAAGGCTATAAAGTAAAATTCTGTATCTGCTATATCCAGGAGACACACACGCCTTTGTTCCGGCTTCTGCTCTGACTGCTTATATCTATTCAGAGTATTTTGGTCATCAGTGGGTAGGTGTGGCTGGCATGTAGTTAAAAGAACCACCCTGGATTTACCCTCTCCTCCCAGCAGCCTCCCTCATCCCTGGGAAGACCAGAGAAGAATGTTCAAGAGTTTTCCATTTGCAGTGTGCCTCCTTAAGCCAATGGGGCACTGTTTCTCCTTAGGAGAACTGCCTAGGTTCCCTGTTTCTAAGCCAGCTCTCAAAGGAATGGCTACCCTGAGTTTCTCCCCTGCAAACATCTGTCTGCAGACCAGGTGTTTAAAGATGTCTTCTGGATGTGACATTAATTAATCTTTTGGACAACCCTTTTAGGGAGGTTTCTTCAGCTTTGATTTCCTATGTTCTTATTCAAGAGGAGAGCCCTCTGTGTCTTGAGACCAGGAAGATATGAATGAATGAATGAATGAATGAATGAATGAATGAATGAATGAATGAATGGGTACAAATGATCTCCTGTGGCTATAGGTCATCCCAGAATGTGATAGGGGAGAGGTCTGCCCCTCAGGAGCGGAGCTGCTCCTCTGTACCACTAAGGCTCTGGGAATTTATTTCCCAAGTACCAGCTAGAGGATAGTGGTTGGCAGTCGGGAGGGTAAGACTTGACAGAGTCAGGGTGGCGTGTCTGCTGCCTCACTGTCCGGTCCTCTTCTTCCTAATGCCTTTCTGGGCAGTAGGAGGTGGGGGTGGGGGTGAGCTGATTTATCTTTGCTCTTAAAACAGCTATAACATTCTTTATATTCACCCCTCCACACTTTTCCCCCACCTTCTTATTTTACACCCCACCCAAAAAGAAAATAACCTTAGTTTTAGTTATAGTTATATTGCTGTGATGTTAATAATGCCCAAAAGCAAGTTGGGAGATAAAGTGGGCTTATGTTTCCACATCCTAGTCCATCAGTGTAGGAAGTCAGGGCAGGAGCCTGAGCCCACAAGTTGACACAGAGACCATGAAGGAGTGCTGCTTATTGGATTGCTTCTCATGGCTTGCTCAGCCTCCTTTCTTCTAGAATCCAGGACCATCAGCCTAGGGATGGGACTGTGCACAATGGGCTCTCCCCGCCTCCATCACTGATTAGAAAAACGCCCTATAGGCTTGCCTACAGCCAATTCTTAGGGAGATATTTTCTCAATTGAGGTTCCCTTTTCTCAGATGACTATAGCTTGTGTCAAGTTGGCATAAAACTAGCCAGCACACCCACCATGGCCAATTTGTGCTGCCTGTATACTCACAGGTACGGGGACATCCATTGGAACATGGTAAGCCTACCAGGAACCACACTCTTAAACTGAGTTCTCTTCCCTGAGAAACATCAACTCTCGGTAGCTTGGAATGTTGACCAGCTTATTCTCACAGTTGCTGTGAGTTTATAACACAATGGCCCTGTCATGTCCAGAAGATGCCATTTTGCTCCATACCCCCCACTTCACCTCCTGTTCTTACAGTCTCTGCTCTGTCTTCAGCGCTGGTAGCTGTAAGTTCTGTAAATCTTCTGGAGTTTCCCTGTCTTAATCAGTGACCCAGATATTCCAAAGTTGCTTTATTTCCCAAGTGAAAGCCTGGGTTTGGGGCGGGAGGTTGTGTTCTAACCTTTAATCCCAGTCTCTAGTCCTTGGCTCTGTCTGCCCTCTTCTCAGTTTCCTAAAGCTTATGGAAACCATTGCTGAGCCCTGCCCTCACTCTTCCGTCCCCAGTGCTATCTCCCAGTGACTGGGACAGATCTGTCATGGACATAATGTAGACATCTTACTTAGCCACTACATAGTTTAGAGGCTGTCTTTCCAATGAAAAGACAAAGTCAACCCAAAACTTCTTCAGAACATGTCCTGGGACCCCCCCCCCCACCAGAGTCCAGCCAGGGACAGGGACATTTTGGACCAGTTAATTGGCCATGCCCTGTGCAAGGTTGGAGAATTTAGAATTCCACTTCCATGGTTTTCACAGATGATTGCCCTGGGTTGTGCAAGCTTCAACCTTAGTTGAAAATGGCTACCCTTTCTCTTATTGGTCACATTAGCATATTGATAACCAGTTTTTCATGAAATCTCTTCTATGACCTGACACTGCCCCACCCCCCAATTTTTTAAGGTCAGGAAGAAGCAAGTGACAGTGAGGCTCCTGCACAGCCAGCATCTCTTTCCTGCTGCTCTTTCTCTCATGTCTGGGAAAGCACCCTTCCTGTGGCCATCTGTTTAAAGAGCATTTCTGATCTGGCTTTTTAGCCTTCCCTTTCCCAGGGCTTAAAAAGAAAAACTCCCCTCCCCCACGTGGCTCTTTCTCACAAGCTCCCAGTCTCCACCTCATCCTTTTCTGGATAGGGTCTATCTCCTCTACACTGCTTCTGCCGTCTGCCTCATGCTCCGTGCTGTCTGTTGTATCGCTTCCATCTTTAGGGATGGAGCAGGTCTGGATCCTTTCCAGAAGGTGCCTCGTATTCAAACTAAAAGAGAGCACAGTCCATTCCCCTTCATCTTAAAGGGATGAGAGGTGCCTGGTCCAGTCTCCTAGCTATTTGTTCATAGGCAGGGGTGAGGGCTTCTCTTTCATCTTCAGCCTTTCCTGGGTGGAAGCCATCTTTCCTTGGTGCTCTGGGATTCCTGAGAATGCATGGACAGGGTCAGTTCAGTTCCCCTATAGCTGTCTGGGGACCACAAGTAGATGGTGAGGCTGATGCGCCTTTTGTTTTCTCAGAAGACAGTTCTCCAGCCACAGGCTTTGAGTCAAATTTCTATTTACCACATGTCCCAGCAGCAAAGTCCTGCCCACACACCAGCCAAAAGAGAACCCTTGGTGTTAAGATTCTTCAGAGGACTTTTAGATTCAGATCTTCTTTAGGCTTCAATACCGTGGTGGCATTAGCCATCATTTTTATACAACCATATATTATTGAAGTCACATGATGGTCAGTTTTACAAACCAGGTACCTGTAATTTGTATAATTTTGTATATGCTCTGGTGTACCACACCTTGTCCTAAGGAAGGGTAGAATACCTGTGTGTTGGTGTCCTCACCTGTGACATTAGGAGGATGCTTGAGTTGCTGGCTTCTTCTGTGTTGATGTTTCTGTGGCTAAGCCCTGCACGTGTCGTTCCTGAAAAGCCTTAAATCTTGGGGAAGTCACGTCGCAGGGTGTCAGTGTGACAGGCTGCCTGGGAACCGTGAGCCCTTCTGTAAGCTGGAAGCGGTTCTCTTACTACTGTTACTTCTCATAGTTTTCAGTTCACAGCTGCCAAAGCCTCCTCCCAGTAAAGCAGTGCCTTAGTGAAACCTTGGAGCCGCCAGCCTTTTCTCATCCTGTTCTGGGTGTCCACTTGCCGATTGGCCCCATATCAGAAGCAGGACAAGCCAAAATCGTTCTCATTTGTGTTTCAAAAGCCCGTTTTTAAATCCAGCTCTATAGGAAGCTGATGACTTGGTTTCCAACAACCTGAATCAGAAACCAAGTCAGTTCTTTGACCATGCTCTCACTTATGTATCCATACCAAAACTAAAGGCTGCAGCTCCGCAGCTTGCTATGAAGAGCAGAATTGTACTTTTCATTGATGCCTTTTTCAATCCATGACCAAATACTTAGCTATTTGTGAATCTTCTGCACTCCAGCTTGAAAGTGCCTTTGGCTCGAGATTCCAGCTTAGAAAGTGCCACCATAATAACGACAATTTGTAGAGAGACCAAAAATATTTCGAGATCACCGTAATGCCTTTGGTTAACCGGGATGAGTAACCAACCAACTGCAGGCTTGTATTCATGAGAGCACCGAGCACCGTGTGGTCCCTGCCTGCTGTGAGTTGGCCTGCTGGTGGGGAACCCTACCACCACTGTCCTGTACAGCACAGTGTGGCAGTGGGGAGCCTGCGAACTGTTGTGTCTGTGTGTGCCGCCTCTCCCCGGCATGTCCACAACTCATCACCCAGCTCTACATCCCTGGGAAGGAACTTACGCACAAGCACCTGAATCCCGGCCAGTGGGCGGACACCATGGCTCTGCCTTCCCCTCTGTGTCCACGTCCAGACTGTGGAGACTCTCATCCACTGGGACGACAGTGCGCACTTGCCTGCCTACACGTTTGGTTGTTGGAAGCCTCGCATTGAGATGACAGTGCAGAACAAAAATTAAAAATGGGTTCATTAGGTCATTGCAGTTGAAGTGTCTCTGGGCAGTTTTGCTGGCTCTGGATGTCCGAATGTGCTGAGAGACTTGCGAAGAGCACACTGCAATTCGGCATTTTCAAGGATGGTCTAGTCCTCAGCCAACTCTTTGAAGTGTGTGTCAGCTTAGAGTAAAACATTTTTGCATCTGGAAACCCCATACCTATCTTAAGGAAAAAGAACAGAAGAGGCAAAAAGAAGCCAGGAAAAAAAATAGATGTTTTGTTTTGTTTTTCTTCCTTTGCTGATGTAAGTGTAAAAGTAATGACAGACAACTCTGAAAAGTTAGCCTCAAAACTCTACCACATACCTTCTCTCCGTCCCTCCCTAGTGTCTAAGGGATAGCCTCTCTGGGCTCTGAAATTGCCTGAGTGATTTGTATCCACCCCAAGTTGTGAGTATATATAAAGGTCTAGTTTCTGGGTTTTTTTTTTTTTTTTGCTTTATTTTCTAAAAGAAAAACAACTATCAAATGAAAAGGATAATTTCTTAGCACAGGTTAGAGTTAGTAGTTTGCTGTCTTGTATTCCTCCCTGGCAGGGACGCACCACAACTTGAAGAACTTAGTCAAATGTGTGTTCTCTTGTGCCTCTTTCTAGTCATTGCTGTCTCATTTGTAGTAGTTTTCTCTCCTGAACTCTTGGCTTATATCTTTTAAAATGAAGGTTTTATGTTTTAAATTTACTATGTTGCAAAGGGTAGGCCTCACTGAAGTCACGTGCCATTTACTAAGTTGAGATATCTGTATTTATTGTTCCTTCCTAAGCTGTAACTTGTTTTCTCTGTGAGTCTGCATTGGGTCCCGTGCCCCACACTACTTCATTTTAGATAAAAGCAGCCTTTATGTGTGTCTCCCACCCTAGTCATTCACAACCGTGGGATCAGGTCCCACTAGACCCCAGCCTTGCCCAGCCTGGCCTTTGTCGGTTTTTACCATGGACGTTCTCTCTCTAAGAGAGGCGGGCAGAATCCACACATCTATCTTGTTAAAAAACCTGTCTATGAGTTTTGTGGTTTTGTTTTACAAATTAATTTGTTTTCTGTGATTAGTTTCAATGTGTAAAATAGATTATTAACTGCACTTATTTAAAAAAGAAAAAAGGATGTACATCTCCTGTCACCTCCTTGAAAGATCAACTTCTCTAGGCCTTTTTCAGTGGGCTTATGACTTCAGACAAGGAAAAAAAAACAGTAAAAACAAAAATAGTACGTGCCTGAAAATGACAAAAAATATTTTTTTTGTAACATTTTAAAAAACCTGAAAAGCCTTTACTTCTTTGATACACTCAAATTTTATGTAAATTGGGTTTTGCCACATGTGTTCCTTCAGCTTCTGAACGACTTCACGGCTTCTCTGTTGTCTCTCGTGTAAAGTGTATAGGATGGGCTTGTGGCGTAAGCATTTCATCTGGTCAGTAGCTCTTTTGTTACTGTACTGCTGCCGGGACTGGGCCGGAGTCTGAGCCCCTGGGTGACTGGGTTCCTCTGGGGGAGACTGGGGAGAAGAGGGTCAAGTGGCTCGTTCATGTTTTCTTAAACTGTTTGCAGAAACTTTCAAAAGGCATTTGGCTAAACTTCCCAGCAGTACAGTATTCTCGTATTTGTTAACGTTTGTGTTTAGGTACTGGTACCTTTTTGTTTAAAAAAAATGTTCTAAGTGTTGGCTTTAAAGTGAATTTATCTTTAGTATGATAGTTATATGAAAATTATAGGGTTTGTGTGCAGAGAATTTTTTTATAAAGTGCTTTGTAAAAAACAAACAAACAAATGTATTCTAGCTTTCGCGGTACATATGTGTGATAACTTTAATACCCATGACAGTTAAGTGCAATTATTTCATCACTCTAAAAATGCTATTTTTGTGTCAGTTCCTGCAGGTGTTTTCATGTCTTTGCAAAGTGACACATTTTGATGCCTTCTTGATAAAGTGGTAGACATTTTGTAGCTTTCTAGAAACTTTGTATCCATACAGTATCAATGAAAAATAAAGAAAATGAAAGTGTGGGTCACCTTTCTTATCTGCAATGGTCTGTGTTGTTGAGAATGAAATCTGCCTTCTTTTTTCTTAAGTTCTTTTATTTTGTTGGGGTGGGAAATCTACACCAGCCAATGGCTTGCTCAGTCCTCTCCTTCCACTACATGTGTGTTGGGAATTGAACTTACGTCATCAGGCTTGGCAGCTAGTGCCTCTACCCATTGAGCCATCTTACCTACTCATATGTGCCCTGTATGTGGTAGGGGTTAGTATGTGGACGGGAGGGTGTTGGAGCTGTGGTTGTGTCCACTGTGCCTGATCACTAGAGCTTTAGGTATGCCCTACAGGGTTTCTTTTTTTTTTTTTTTTTTTTTAAAGATTTATTTATTTTATTTATGAGTACACTGTCGCTGTCTTCAGACACACCAGAAGAGGGCATCAAATCTCATTACAGATGGTTGTGAGCCACCATGTGGTTGCTGGGATTTGAACTCAGGACCTCTGGAAGAGCAGTCAGTGCTCTTAACCACTGAGCCATCTCTCCAGCCCCCCCCCCCCTTACAGGGTTTCTTAAACAGCCACAGTCAGCTGTCCTGTCTATCTTCGATACTCTGTTAAAATTGACAAAAATAGGCTCACCATGTAGCTCATTGGTAGAATGCTGGCCTAGCGTACACATAGGCCTTGGGGTTCTGACCCTAGCACAGAAAACATGAGGTGAAGTACTCCATGCCCTTGATCCCAGTACACAGGAGGTAGAGATGAGAGAATCAAGAGTTCAAAACCACCCTCAGCTACATACTTAGTTTTGAGGACGACCTGGGCTACATAAGACTCTGTTTCCAGAATCAACAAGAAAGCCATCTCTCCTGTGAATCACAATAGTCTTAGAATAAAAGGCATGCACTCCCATGTTGTTAGCTTGCTATGTGCATATGCGCTGCTTCTGGCCAACGCCTATTCATCAAGTATGCCCCAGTCGTCATGACAGCAAATAGGCCTCTCACTGCCTTTCTCCTCAGCAAATGTTTTCATTCACTCTAACCTCTTAAGAAGCTAAGACTTAAAATGTGTGCTTTGCATTATTGATAAGGAACCAAATAAAAACCTCAGAAAGACTGAAGATAAATACAACTAGCAAGGTGAATCAGTGGGTGAAATCACGTACCATCAAGCCTGACTACTTGAGTTCAATCCCTGGGACCCACAGGTTGGAAGGAGAGAATGAATGGACTTCCATTCGTTTGTAAATAATGTAATCTTAGTATGAAAAACATAAATCAAAGCTCAACAAGAAGACTAATACAGCTTCATTAATCTTCACTCACAGTATAAATTCTCACTAGAGCCAGTGAGGATTACTTCACAATGGTACAAGTTTGGATTGATGTGGAATAAAGGACAAAATTAACATGTGCCCGTTAACCTCGCTACAAAGTAAAGGGGATAAACCAATGGTCATAGTGGGTTGTAGGCATTCCATTTATAGAGCACACACATACAGCACGATTGGATGAGTGTGTTCTAATGTACTAAGTACAAGATGGTGAAGCGCACAACTGGTGGTTGTACGTTATTTTCAAGTACATACAGAATTTTTATGAATACTGGCCATACCCAAAGCTGGCAGTCAGGAAACTGGCCAATGCAGTGTCTTACTGGGACACAGGCATTACTGTTTGTTAGTCTACTGCTGTGACTTATTTCATACTGATAGCAGAGTTGACTATAACAAAGACCCTGTAGGCCACAGAATCTAAAAGAATTTCTGGCCTTTTGCAATATGTGGGAGAATACTTACCACCCCCACTATAAGCCATTTTTAAAAAAATGTCCTAATATTCAATAACCCTAAAAGGGTAGTCTCTCTTTGATGTGTAGTAGATACCCTGGTAAGTGGTTATAACTGTAGGTCCCACAAGCCACCCAGTTTTCCTTTCCATCAACAGGACAAGCTCAAGTCTGGACAAGTTGAGTAAGAGAGGTATTTTAAGGTGGGGGTGGGGGGGGTGTCTGTGTGGGTGTTTATAGACTGGAGGACAACCTCAGGATCATCCTCAGCAACATTTGCTTCCTTTGAAGTAGTCCTCCTGGGTCCTAAAGCTTGCCAATAAAGCTCTGTGGCGACCAGTGAGTCCTAGAGATCCTCCTGTCTCCACCCCTTCAAGGCCAGGATGATGAGTGTATCCTACCACGCCTATCTCATTTTATAGTGATGGTTCTTGGGATCAAACTCAGGTCCTTCACATGAACTGAATAATCCCTCCAATCCCAGGAATGGTGGCCTTGACTGAGTGCAGCAGCTGAATCTCCTCACCCAGTCAGAACATTGATTTCTCAAGCAGCCAAGCAGTGCCTCCAATGGCTGGCATTCTTCCTCGCCCCTGGCTTGCCCTGTCCACTTACCTCCTGTTGTCTTTTCTCCTTTGCGTCTGACAGCTGAGTGCTTTCATCAGTCCTATTATCTCCATACAATTCGATGTCAGTATCCTCTGTCACCAAGCCTTGACTGTAAGCCACCGAGTTTCTCAACAGCATTGGTCCTATTCACTGTAGTTTCACTGCAGTGTCTGGATCTTTGGCACACAGGAAGTGCACACTCTAGTTTCTACTCTAGTTATCAATCCAGCCCAGGAGTATGGTCTTGACCATAGTTTCTTTCAAGCATCAAGGGGCTGCCCAGCAGCACATTAGAAATAGCACCTGGTTTCCACTGGGACATTAATACCTGAATTGCAGAAGGGCACCCGGTATACCAGTGGCTGTCCATAATCTAGTCCAGATTCATGTTCTCAAGTTTTGCTCCAAGGCAAAGTTCCCCAGTTCCTGTTGGGAAGAATTCAGACTGGGTTGGTCCTATAGCTCTTGCTGATTCCCGTTTTCTAGAAGCAAGGACCCAACTTTTCTGTCTGGATCTTGGTGAGGATTTATCCTTAGTGTATAAGTGATACGAACTTGGGCAGATATTGGGGAAGTGTTCTAAATCTAAATGTCCCCTTGATAATTGTGTCTTAATGGATATGAGACAAAAATAAGAAACTGCCTCAGATCAAACACATTTCTCTCAGTCATCAGTGAAACAAGCCAGTATGAAGAATGTATAGACATTTTGCATTAGTGAACACTGTATATACAATATATCCCCGTTGGTTTTTTTTCACGTTTAAGGGAACAACTGGAAACCGTATACTTGAAAATTAAGCAAATCTCTATATGTCAAAGTATTGCTATAATAAGAATATTTTCTGGCCTTAATGCAATTGGAGTAGAAATCAATATAGAGAGAATCTTTTAAAGGAATACACACACACACACACAACACACCCCTCAGGATGAATAAACAATTTTAATTCATAAGAAAAATATGCCACGGAAATAAAATTAGCCTTAGGTTAAGAGGTTGAGTGTGATGGCTCATGCTTGTAATCTATGTAATCTAGGAAGTCAGCATAGGCTACACTAGTTTGAGGCTCTAGCAAAAATAAAATTAAGGAAATGCTGCATACTAAAATATATAGAATGTAGCCAGACACACAACTTAATCCCAGCACTCATGAGGCAGGTGGATCTGTGTGTGTTGAAGACAAATTAGTCTCTAGGAGGCATGCATTCAAAAAAAAACATTGTATAAGAAGGAGGTGAAAGCTGAGCTAGTCATTCTCTTCCCAAAGTTAAAGGACAAATAGATAGAAGGAAGGAACAAGGAGGAGAGGGAAAGACTCACAGTAAACTAATTAGGAATCAAATAGATGAACAAAGTTCAAACTTGACTTTTCAGATGTTATATAGAGAAATCTTCAGCTTTGGGACAGCGCCAAAATAACAACAGGAAGATGGGGCATCGCTACAGATTTTACATGAACTATGATAGATAATAAAGACATACTAGTAAGTTCTTATGCCAAGAAGGTTGAAAATACAGATGAAAGAAAACAGATAACTTCAGAAAATAATCTCATAAAGATGAGTGTAATGGAATGGTGGCCTTGAAATCATTAAAGAGAGCCACAGTTGTTCCTAATGGTACCACACAAACCTAAGGAGCGAAATCCTGTGTACTCTTATGTACAGGATTCATAGCTTAGATCTTCTAGAATATAGAGTCTGAGTGGAGAGGGAAGCTGCTAATATATAGGAGATGCACGTTCAGGGCAGGGTGTACAAGAGGAATACCGAAGTCAGTAGACATCAGTGCCATGTGTCATGTATTAATCTACAGACTGCCAAGTTACAGTCCTTGAGGTATCCAGGTCATTTACCCAAAACATGTAAGATCCAGAGTATTTCAGATTTTTAAGTATTTGGACGTAATAATGAGATAACTTGGAGATGGGACTCAAATCTCAACAGGAGATCCATCTCTGTTTCATATGCATTTTCTTACATCGTTTGGAAGTAAGGTTACATGTTTTTAATGCACCTATTTGTTGACTCCAACCCATCATTTTTGATCAGATATGGAATCTCTCTCCTGAAACCTCATGTCAGTACTTGGCAAGCTTCATAGATTAGAATATTTGAGCTTTGGTAATTTACACTGGAGTTACTCACCTGAGGTCACTCAGCATATGTGATTCTTGGCATTTGGGGTTTTCTAGAAATGTTGCAAAGAGGAATAAAGTCTTGTAGTTACCAATGAAAGAAAGAAAAGGGAGCAATTGGCTTCTCAGGTAAAGCCCCACCTACCAGTTGTCATTGGGTGTCAATCTTCCAACAGTCTGGTACTGTTTGTCCTCTATCACAGCATCTACCCTGTAGTAGCTATGGAAGAATTCAGACCCATGGCCCGAGGTATGAGCCATGAAAATTCTGAAAGTAGAAGGCTGATGTAGAACGCGTATGCAGGTAGGGGTGGGGAGAAGGGTGACCAAGGGCATGGTGATGGTGCACAAGACTTGTTCCTAAATATGCTCCTGTAGTTGTTTGAGATGAATTCCTTACACTCACAAGGGCAATAAAAGGGAAACCATAGGTTAATCCCACTAGTGAGCATAAATTCAAAATACTAGCAAGTTGAGTGTAACAGGGCAAGCATCATCATGTGTAACAA